CCACTCTGAAAAGTGGCCACCTGCAATAACTTTTTGTCTACGATCTCCTAGGAAATATTCAATCCTTTTTCAGAAGATTCCCTGTTATCCCATACTCGGTCATCTTTCGGATGAGGCGCTGGTATGGAAGGCGATCAAACGCCATGGTGAAGTCAAAGTAGATAACATCTACCGGATGTCCTCCATCCATGGCTTTTGTCACGTGTTCTAGTGTTGTGATAAGGTTTATAAGACAAGACCTATTCTCATAGAAGCCATGCTGGACTGAGCTGATTTGGTGGCGACATGTATCGAACGATAAAATCAATTTTTTAAAATTATCCTATCCATCAGCTTAAAACAGATGCATGTCAAACTGACCAGAGGTAGTTGGTGGGATAGAGCCGTGATCGTCCTTTATGGATGAGTACGACATTTACCAACTTCTATGTTTCAGGAAGTTTACCAGCTTCGAGTGATTTTCGAAAGTTCATAGAGAGGGGTTACGCGAATACTTCAGATAGTTCGCATAGAGGCTAACCTGGGATCTCATCCGGGTCAGGTGACTCGGCCGGATCCAACGTCCTTAACTATGCCGAAGGTAACTGCGGTGTAAATAATATATGCTTATAATCGAGTTGTTGACAACGTGCGGCAGATAGTAGGGCTGGAGATGTGGCTCCGTGTTATAAACACTTTAGAAAAATTCTGAAAGAAACTCGGCCACCGCTCACAGTTTTTTTGTTTTTGTCTTTTGTGATTGCGAGTTGTTCACGGTTCTTTGTAACCCTTCTGAAATAGGCGAAGAATAATTTGGGTTTTTGTGGCGCCTCTTCCAAGGACCATAGTTCATAAGAGGCTTGGGCTACTCTCAGGAATCTTGTGCATTCGTTGCGTTGTTGTCTAAATGATTGAAGTTTTCCTTGGTTCTCCGTTTGTATAAATATTTTCCACAGCTTTTGCTTTTTTCGGATTCATTTTTTACCACTTTTTTAACCAATTGGGTCTGTTGCCGGTCGAATATTTCTGAAGAAGAGTGTACAGTTCGATCAAGTTTATCATTTTTGAAACAAAAGATTCCAACATTCGTCGATAACCTTTTGAAATAATTCCGTCCATCTTGTGGGCCCAAGCATCAATTTCATTGCCTCAGAGTTATCCCGCCAGACCTTTCTTAACAGCTTTGAGCTTCTTTCGGGACGACCAGGAGAGTTGATTCCCACATCAATGTCGCATGCTCAGAAGAACCTAGGAGTGGGCCTACATTTTTTAATCAACAATTTCCTCAGTTTGGTACAAAGTAGATCCAGACAACTAGATATCTGACCTTCACGCATTCGAGTCATGGTGTTGAAATAAGAATTCGTCAAGTGACATACCCAATAGCATTTAATCGAAGCCTTGCCTATGACTTTTAGTATTAATTAGCCCCAAGTTAACCAACGGGGCGTTGAAAGCTCCTACAATTATACTGTCTTG